GCATACGCATATTCAAATTCATGTTTCAGCCAAGTTATTTCTCGTCATATACAGAAAGGGGTAGAATAGAGAGGCGTTTTGAAATTAAAATAACTCAGCAGATGCAACCGTTCAACAATGAAGTGGTGATAAATTCTATTGAAGATTTAGCTGTGACACCTTCTTGTAAGAGCTAATCATTTATTGTATCAATTCATCTACTTGTGAATTTTGGGATCAAAAGGTTTTCCAACATTGAAGCATATCGTTCAGTAGTTTCAGATAGAATTGTTCCTCCGAGGCAAGTTTCTGACTGTAAAGTGAGCATTGATGCAGATCAGGTGGGGGGGGATTTTCTGCTGTCCAATATCTCCCTCTTATGTATTATATTGTTTGATCAAATGGTCATTATTATTAATATTTCATTTTCATCTTTCAACATAATCAGCGTTCTTTCTGAGACCCCGAGATGAAAATGTTCAGTCTCTCAGAGTTTCTGAAAGCGAGACTCAAGTTTCCGTCTCTCACCGAGTCTCTCTGGTGTCGCTGAGAGAGACTGTCGAAAGACTGTCAAAAAAACTGTTTAGCGTCTCTGAACGAGAGACTCGAGTCGCTTTTAGAGAGATCCTCATTTCGTATCCAGTCTCTTAACGAGAGACTCGAGTCTCTCAATTGTTCAGTCTTATTCATTCAGTCTCTCTGTGAGAGACTCGAATCTCTGAATTAACAATTTTAAAGTTCGAGTCTCTCGTAGAGAGACTGTGAGCGATCCATAAAAACATCTAGGCAATAACTGAGAGATTGTGAAAGACTGTGAGAGACGCTCTCAGAGACGCTGAAAGACTCTGAGAGACTCTGAAAGACTCGAGAGAGAGACAAACTTTTGTCTGCCCTCATTTTCCGTAATACAAGTTTCTAATAATTAAAAAGCAACTGAGTTATTCTCTTTTCAAAAATCATAAGTAAATCTGAAGTTCCTATATTATTCTGTAAAAGAATTAGAAATCTCCTGTCAAGTGAATACAAAATGAGGTTCCATCTGGGTCTTTTGAAACGGGCACCCTAATTAATGCAATTTATAATTCATTTGAGGGAAATTTTTATGATATAAACTCTGACTAGTTTTGATTAACACCTTTGAAGGTTTCTTGTTGTTGAGGATGAATTAGAACTTTTACATGATCTCTTAATGGTAAGTCACAACAATACGACCCAAACAGTGACTTTCTGACGTGTGAAGTGAGCACTGATGCAGATCATGAAGAAGATTTTCTTGTGTCCAATATCTCTTTTTTATTTGCCACATTGTTTGATCAAATTAAAATGAGTCCCTTCGCTCATTATTATTAACAGTTCATATTCATCTTTGAAAATTATCAGCGTTCTTTCTAACTGCTGGCGTTGGTCAATATCCCCTTAATTTTTTTGTGAGCAAAATTTCCATCATGCTTTCCACTTTTTAATGGTGATAGCCCTCGTTTTCCCTAATAAAAGTTCTTAATAATTAAAAAGCAATTGAATTACTTGAAATACTTTTAATTAACATCTTTTAGAGTTCCTTGTTGTTAAGAATAGAATATAACCTTTATATGATGGCAAGCCAAAAACATTTTTAAGATAATTTTAGGCCAGAGTAGGCAAATTCGTACTTGAAAAAACTTGTTTTCGTATTTCATGCAGGATGTTGTTTTAAAGGATCATAAACACATGTTTCTCGAATACTATTTCCATAGATTTTGCTCACAATGTGTTTTAAAAACATGTTTATTCAATAAATTTTTGGTAACTACTGAAGCTCGGACTATAAACAATTATTTATTAGAAATTTCCATCAACGTTGTAAAAGATCTAATTTGAAGGTCTTTTTAAGAAATTTGCAATAAAATAAAATTAAACAAATGTAGCGGCATATAACTTTCTAAAGTAAAACAAGTCAAATATAATAAATGCATTACTTGATTTAGAGCCAATAAAACCGTGCCAAAAATATCATCGCCCCCAAATACATTTGACGTTTGTAGGCCGAAAAATGCAAAATAATTAATCTTATTCCATGCTTTTATTTAACGATGCAAATGCATTCATTGCTTTGTCCAAATCGAGAGCTTCTTTAATTTTTTCCTCCATGCATCGTGTAAAATAAAATTTCACTTCCTGGCCAACCGGTGGTGAAAAATATCAAGGATACGAGGCGAGGAAATAAACAAACGGTCTGAGACATTCATACTCTCCTGTCTAGGTGTGTAATATATAGTTGGGATGTTCAAAATTGGCAAACTCCACAATAAAACTATCGCAGTTACATTCTTCTTTCAACTTACTAACTAAACTATAGCGGTTGCTAACTACTTTTATTTACAACAGATTTTGTTCGAAGTGTTCGTGGTGTTACAGGCGAATGTCCTCATCATTGGATAGAGAAGGTTAGAAATGAAGATGGAAGTCAATTAAAAATAGGCGAAATAAGTTGGTAGGACACCTCCTCAGGCATGAAGGTCTGGTCAGAGACATATTAGAGGTAGAAACAGGAGTTAGGAGGAGTAGAGGTAGACCTAGATTAGATTACTGTTCACAAACAGTTAAGGATGTGGGATGTTCTAGTTTTAGGGAAATGGGAAGAATATCTCGGGATAAAGAATGAAGGTGCGTGCCCAGTCTTAGGACTGACGACCTTATGATGATGATGAATAAAACTGATAATCTTGGTCTTGGTCTCGCATATTTGGTCTTGGTGTTACTCTTCGTCATGGTTTTACTCTTGGTCTTGTCCGTCGAGTTTTGGTGTTAGTCTAACAAATATAAAGGCATTCTTGCCCTTGCTCTTGGTCTTACATTTTCGCAAAACCAAAACCAATTGATCATTACTAAATATAGTATTAAAAACCATCCCCACCACTCATACATAATGGTTCTCGAATATTGCGGAACATTCTCTATTCTTCGGGTCAGATATTTTTTAGAACGCTTTTTTTGAAATATAAGAATGTCCTAGGTGTCTTGGCCTACTACTTTCAGTCCCCGTATCTTCTACACCCTTACAGCTATCGACACGCAAACACCACAATGCACAATGAGATGCTTAGAGCTACTACCCCACATATTTGGCTCCAGAATGAAATATAGGCACAGACACGTCCATTTATATATATAGTATACCTATGCATAGATTTAGATTATACATCTACAGTAGAACCTCGAACATCAAGGGAGACTCCAAAAATTCTAGTTATAGACTTTTCGACTTATGGAGGATTTTGACTTGGCCGGATAAAATAAACAGTGGTTGTACTATTGATTGTATACTCCTAAATTGTTTGCTATGAAACAATGGAGTACTTACATTGTTGGAAAATCCTTTAAGTCGATAACTTAGTTTTCTTCGAACTATAGACGTAATAAGCTTCAAATTATCGAGTTGTAATGTGTAAAATAAAACATTGGTATGTTCGAGATACAGAGGTCCAATTCAATTTTTCGAGTTATAGAGGGAAAATGTGTACCAAAATGGCTTGCAGGGATTCACTGGTTATTTCGGCTAATAGAGGATTGAGATTTCGGGTAATGGAGGTTTTTGGGCTTGAAGGGAAGGAAACAAAACAGTTTTTCCAGTTTTGGAGGTTTTCGACTTATCGAGGTTCGACTTAAAGAGCTTCTACTGTACTTGTAGTTTTACGTTGCCCTTTATTGGAATCCGTCAAATGGGCATACACTCCACTCTTCATCTACATTAACTACTTTCCAATAGAAACTAACCGTTTTATATATGTAAAAAATATATTCGGAAAATTAGAGAAACAAGTAAACTAATAGAAGTTTGGATGAAAGCAGTAGGTATCAAAGAAGTGAATTCCGGAATAAAAATTTGTTCACGTCATTTTAATGCACATGATTATATTTCAGCAAGTATTTACAATCAGTCATAACCTTCATATTTAAAACTAGAATCATACTAAAATTATAAAGTGAGAAATTATTTATTCCTGTGTAATTGATTTAACACAATTCTAATGATACGATATAAGTATTTTGAGGTTAAGTACCTACCTGCTGCAATACAACAAAGTTGCAATAATGTGTTTGCAACGTTCTCTTAAATCGGCTTTGCACGTGCAAGTCATTGATATGATATTGCTTAAATCACCCAGAAACACCTCGCCAATTATATAACGTGAATCACTTTTTAAATCCGAAGTTTGTAAAAAGTAGGCAGTAAACTTGACGGAATTTGAAGGCTAGCTTCCGGATTTGTTATTTCCGAATTTTATAATGTGATTGGCATTAAAAACACGCTCACCTTCAACGAAATTTCCTTTCCGAGGCTTTGTGTCAGCCCAATCACATATTGTGTCAATACTTATCATTTTATCGTAATTTAAAAACTTGGAAATTGCACGGTACACTATAGGAACTACGATAAATTTTCCCTAATCGACGCCATGTTTTTAGGCTCCTCCCATTTGACGGATCCCAATACGGTTAGGGAAGTCAAGGAGTCGTGAACATAAACTCTAAAAATTACAAATATAAGCCCTCTCATTTTGATTGTATTAATCTCCGCAAAATTATGGGCCAAATAATTTGATATTAACAGCACGTTTCAATATGCATGGAACTATCAACGCGAGTTGGTATTTCCCCGTAGAGGAATATTTTCTTTTCTAGTCTGCTATGGTCAGTGAACCAATAAAATTTGTCCTGAACGGTGGATCAATAGTTAGTTTACTCGTGTTCCACTTAAAAGCAACAAAGACAAATCCTGTCATAATAAAAATAGTAACGTCCATCAACACTTGCACGTTACCGTCGACATAATCTAATTATCCCTGCCTCAAGGTCAGAGGATTAGTCTGCTGTTTGTACAGATATGTTCATGTGTAACAATCATATCTTTTGTGTACTTGAAACAAAATGGAAAGCACCATGTTAGTTTCAAAAGCGCGATTTCTCCATGTAGACATTAAGGAGATTTTTTCCTGATGGAGTCTGTGCGGGGCCAGTTTCTAACCGGTTTTTTTTTACAGTTTTCCCTGCAAGACAACGGATCAGCCAAGTATTTCCAAAGCGGCATACACACTCCAAAAATGGGCGAGAAGGTAGCCCAGGTAAGTTTTTTTTAAACTACTACTTTTTTACTTCCTTTTTTTAATGATGGCAGCCTATGTAAATAGATGTGATGCTAATTGTTGATCTAGAAGACTCGGACGCATAATGTCCAAAGGCAGTTTATTTATTTGGTTTTAAAAAAATGTCAATAGGAGTCAAATCTGGAGAATAAAGTAGTTGCTAGAAAAACTTTTGTAGTAATTTTATCAGTCTCTGCCTATCGTTTTAATTTCTCCTTATTACTAACGTGTTTAATGAAAGGTCCATGTTTATTAATAGTTATGACAACAACAATAGGGGTCAGAAAAATCTCAAATCTCCGATACATCAGGAGATTTAGTGATGATACAGGCCTCAAAATTCAATATGTTAAAATGTTAACTCAAATTAATTGACAGACCAAACGTAATCCCTAGACCCCTCCAACATATTCGCGACATACATATCAAATATTAAGTTATCTACTTGTGTATGTCAATCTCGAATGGGGATAGGTGATCAACCATCGCAGTTGCAGATGAAACGTCATGAATGCGTACTGAAGACGCCGGTCGTGAAGTCCTACATTCATTTATTAAATTGTTAATTATTATCTACTTAAATTTAATTTTGCGAAGTCTCACGTTAATTAAGTTACTTACTCATTATATTTATGTAAATATTTTTCTTTGATTTTGAAAAACAAAGAAATATTTGAAGTCAAATGTAAAATCCTTTTTCACCATGATAATGAACAGACTTCAATGTCTCAAACGCCGTATGGGTTTTTCAAATTTACATTTTATAAGAATCCGCGATAGAGATGTCCTCGAATGTTAAATGATGTCCGTGGAAGAAATCTTTTGACAGAAGAATTAAACTATCAACAAAAATGAAAATAAACATCGTACATAATTCTACCAAATAATTCACGTTGTAAAATAAGAAACGGTGATAAGTTGATGTTCGTTGTTCTTAATGTTTTGATGGTCTGAAATTTAACAAACTTAGTGGAGTTCTCGCTGATGTTCTTACGTATATATTCTGTGACAGTGTAGCAAATGTTCCTAACCCGAAGACTAGATAACATAATCCACTGAGACATATATTTCTTGAAGTGTAGAATAGTTGCATCGTCTTAAAAAGCGGTGCTATTATTTACTAAAAGTATCAACAAAATGCAAAATTTTATTAAGTGATAACAAGAAAAGGGATGTAATAGCAGTATTTTATTATTTAATTTAACTTCAGTATTTACATCGCCAAAACCAAGAAGAGGTAGCATTATCTGTCTCTCTTGGCTCTTATTAATGCTTAGCACCAACTTTAGGTCATAAATAATAAGAGCACTATTTAATAGTGCAGCTACTTAAAAGTAATAGAGGCGTTTTGCATATGCTAATAAAGCGAATCGGTTTAGTTTGATAACATTAAGGACTGCAGAGAAACTAACTCTTCGTCAGATAACATTACCGCGCCACCTAGTAGTGAACAGTTGAGCTATGTGCTTCAGCTAAGATATTTTATGTTCGTAACCTTTTGCTCTGTGCTTTAAATTACAAAAACCTGTCAATGGATTTTGAGATAATGAGTATCCAAAATTATCCTATGTACATTAGGCGACATGACAACTCGTCATCATCATAAGGTCGTCAGTCCTAAGACTGATTTGACACGCACCTCTACTCTTTCCTTTCCTGAGCTAATCTATACATTTCTGCATCCCTGACTGCTTTTTAATGTGTGTCTAATTAGCCTTTAATGCCTGAGAAGGAGTCCTACCAACCTATCTCGCCTATTTCTTCTTAACTTCCATAAGGCCTTCTGTTTTCCTATTTTTTCTAATACGTCCTCGTTTTTAATCTCAATCCACGATGTCCTCATTATTCGCCTGTAACACCACATTCCTTTTCAATTCTCAGAATAATTTCTTGCTGTAAACATTACCGTTACATGCGGGAAACTTTTTCCGTACACACCCTTAAAGGGAGTGGTAACATAAACATACATCCTCTATACACTTAACGTAACTATTGGACATATTTTGAAAGAAATGCTATGATATAAGTGAAATAAAAATGGCAGCGTGTAGTTTTTATCAGCAAATAGAAAAGACTTCATTGTTAGATAAAAAAAGGATAAAAAAAAATTAAGCCCCTTCCCTCTATTCCTAAATTTACTTTGCAAAATTGGTCTCCACGAAAAACGTTTTCATTTTAATGCAATAATCTACAACCCATATCCACCCTGATGTTCCATTCTAAATATTGGTGAAACAATTTTTGTAATCGGTTGGGTAGTTTCACAGATTATCTCCACCTACCTCATTATATAACATTAGTATAAATTAAGAGCAAATTTTCAATTACTTTATGACAAAAAATATAAAATTACCATAACAAATTTTCTTGAAGATGTTCTGTGTATTACTTATATTTTTATTCATTTGTTTTTCTTAACGTAAATATTGTAAAGTATTCACATTTTCATTAATGAAATTCTATCAATTTCCTCGTGGAATAACAAGTCAAGTTCATAAATTGATCTTACTTAATATGATATTAAAATTAACGTAATTTATATGTCATAAATTAATATAATGTAAATAATGTACAACATTATGGCTTCTGAAACTTTTTCCAAATACCGGTCTTTTACTGACATTATTACGAAAATTCTATTAATTTCCTAAATCAATATTATTACCAATAAGTCACTCGCTGCGGAAACAATCCTACGCATTTTTTGCCGTCGAATATCCGCATTCAGTTCTGCATCAGGAAGTTTTTGGCTTGGTTATCGACAGCACAGCTCATTGTTTCGTACAATTCGTATCGGTTTTTCAACGAAGGAAAGCGTTAGTTGGTAAAAGAAGGAGTGACACAGTGGCCGTAGCCACCGGCTGGCGTAGTTCCACGGCGAAGATTGATCGGCGTGGAAATTTCGGTCTGGGGCAGGGTTGCTTGTTCGCCGTATTTCCCAACCATCCGCCGCAGTCGAGAGAGAGACGAAAGGTAACCGCTGTGGAAGTTTGAACCTCGAGAGACGCGGCAGCCATCGGCGGGGCGCTATGCCAAATGCCGCAACTCCAGCAGTCTTCCACCATGGTGTCCGCCACATGAACACGCACAGTTATTACGATGCTCATAAAACACACCAAGAACAAAATGTACTGCAGCAACGGGAGCCTCTTCGTCAAAGACGAAGACCTAAACGTAATCCGGAAAATAATCGAAGACGTCGAACAAACAGAAGACGAACTCATCAGTCTCAAACAGAACAAGAACAACACCAACAGGCAATTATCGTCGTCGTTGAAACTGCCGAAAAAGAAACTCACCGATGTCGGACGCAACTACAAAATATCTGACAAGTATCAGAAAATGTGGAACAGCGACTCGATCATCAACGAATACAAAAAGGAAAATTGGACGGTGTTGCAAAAACCGTGTTACAAAAGTTTGAACGGCACCAGCAGGAATGTGACGCGACTGACGCGATGCGCTAGTGATTTTTTTCGGACGAATAAGAGTGAAGGAAATTTGTACTTGAACTTTATCGAAAACTTTAGCGACAACGACAATGACGAGGCTAATAACTCGGTGCGCGATCTGCTTCACAAGAAGGACAGGAAAAAAGAGAAGAAACAGTGGTGCAGCGTGCAGAATGTTGCCAATCAGAAGATTTATGTCGATTCAAAACGACGACAAACATACGTTCCGGAAAACGTTAAGCAGGTCAGTTGTACAGGAATTAAGTCAACAGCGTTATTAGAATTTTTAATTTATCGTGTTGTACATACGGTTAATTTAGAAATTCGAAAATGGTTGTTAAAGGTGTATGTTTGGAGCGCGGTGCTGTACGGGTGCGAAACATAGACGCTGGGCGCTGTGGAAGCATTCGAAATGTGATGTTACAGGCGAATGATGAGAATCCCGTGGATAGAGAGGCTTAGAAATGAAGAGATATTAGAAAGAATAGGAGAACAGGGGACTCTATGGAAGTCTATAAGAAATAGGCGGGATAGGTTGGTAGGACACCTACTTAGGCTTGAAAGTCTAGTCAGAGACATATTAGAGGCAGAAAAAGGAATCAAGAGGAGTAGAGGTTGACCTAGATTAGATTACCGTTCGCAAATAGTTAAGGATATGGGATGTTCTAGTTTAAGGGTCCAGTTAGTCCTAGAATGATGATGAAGAAAATTCATAATGGAGCTTTCCCTATCAAAAGAGGAAGAAGTTACAGATAGCTTCTGTTGAATTCCATGAAACGAAACTGGTTTTTGTATGTCTAACTGAATGTCAAAACTAATTTGAATGCGGTTTTCATTGAGATATTCCATCCAGCGCCGTAACCCACTATTTATTTATATTTAAGGTCACCGGTTTAATTCACGACCTCCTGCCCTACTCCAAATTTTTCTGTAGTTTCTTTGGATCGGGTAGGTAAATGCTGAGGTAGACACTCTTTTACTTGGAAAGACACCTTCTCAGGCATGAAGTTCTAGTCAGAGACATATTAAACGCAGAAACAGGAGTTAGGAGGAGTAGAGGTTGACCTAGACTAAATTACTGTTTGCAAATAGTTAAGGATGTAGGATGTTTTAGTTTAAGCGTAATGCGAAGATTATCTCAGGATAGGAAAAAATGAAGATGCAAGTCCAATCAGTCCTAGGATGATGATGAATAGAACTGATAATGGAGCTTTTTCCCCATCAAAAGAGAAAGAGAAGTCACAAATAACTTCTGTTGAATTCCATGAAACGAAACTGGTTTTTGTATGTCTAACTGAATGTCAAAACTTATAAACCAATTTGAAAGCAATTTTCATTGAGATATTCCACCCAGCGCCGTAACCCATTATTTATTTAAATTTAAGGTCACCGGTTTAATTCACGACAGCCTGCCCTACTCTAAATTTTTTTTGTGGTTTCGATGGATCGTGTAGATAAATGCTGAGGTAGTCATTCTTTTACTTTTTAACTGTATTCGTCGTTTTCTTCTTTTCATCTCTCATATTG